AAGAGCTTGAGGGGGTGGGGTGGGTGGGCTGAGGTGGTTGCACTTCGGGGCTGGGTATCAACTTAGTGAGAAGTGCATGTTTGCTGTTGAAAACCTTCCCTAGAAGCCAACCTTTTAATTTTCTGTTTAGTTCTCTTGAGTGCAATATGCTTAATCCTGCAATTTGTGTGTGAGCTCGGGCAGACAGGCAGCATTGGCAATGCATTAAGCATGCTACTGACTAGAAATTAACTCCAGGACAAATGGACGTGATCAAGCTGTTTATTGGAAGCAAGATTCCCACTTATCTTCTCTATATGCCACCCGAGAATGTCTCATCTCTTTAGGCACTACCAGCAGTACAAATGTTTACCTTTGTTTGCCTGTATGAATGCCAACTGCAGGGCCATGAGCTAGAAGGGGAAGGCTTGATTAACATGAGATAACAGCTCTTGTATGAAGAGGTGCAATGCACTGAGTGTTTAGCTACAACCATTGTTGGAAAAGCTTTTGGAATTCCAGCTGAAAGCCAGTCTTCATGTAATCCTGTTGCTGTTAAACTTTGCTTGTTCCCAAGTTTCACACTTTCCCTCTGTAGAGCTCTGTTTTTCTCTGCTGTGTTGAGCAGTTAGGCTCCTTAATTTCTGGCATGACTTAGAGTAGAACTTGAACACTTTTTATTTTTTGTTTTGTTTTTTTCCTAGTTTTAGTTTCTGATTTCCAGTTGTTCTTTTTTGGGGCCATTTTTTCTCTACTTTTGCACAGTCATGCTAGGTTGGCATTGCTGCACTCTAGTTCATCTTGATGTGGATTAATGGCCTAGAAATCGCTGCTGTGCTTACTTTAGAGGAGGAACACATTAGATTTGCCTCAGCTGAAAGGAAAGACAAAATTACCTGTAACCCATGATATTTTTTTCCCCATTAATAGCCTAGTTAGGGAGCCACAAAATGCTATGGTGGTAAACACTGTGGGTTTGTGCTTCATTTATGTTTCAGGGGGTTAGAAAGGAGGGAAATTCTTGCCCCAAGTGCAGATTGGTAGTTTGACATGAGCCAAATGAGGAATGGGTCACTTCAGGTTGGAATCAAGTGCTTCACCTAGGGAACACTTGGCACCACACAGTATTTAATGATCCTTTTTCTAGCTCAGTGTAGTTTGGGGATTTTTAGAGATGACTCTACACAGCTTAAAGAAAACCAGCTCAAAGACTAGAATAGCATGGTAATCTTGTTCCAGTAGCTTCCTGTCAGTTATATCTAAAAAAACCAAAAAACCCGAAATTGAATTGATTTTTTTCCAAATTTTAATTTGGTGATTGGGAGGAATTTCGCTCCCACTTGAAAAGATGAATTTCCAGCTCTGCTAGCAACAAGCCCTGCATGCTTATGAAAGTAAACTTTTAAGGTGACTAAATGCCTTCTACCTCTTCCTTACTGAAGATTTATTTCCTTTTTCTAAACATCTTATGGGGGAAGGGCAGTTTGTGGACCCAAAGGCTCCTTTTTTGGAAGCCAAACCTTCAAATCTCCTTTTTTACCAGAGCCAAATGTCACCATTTGCTATCCCTGGTCAAGGCAGTGCCATTTTGGAGCGGCTCACAGTTGAAATTTACCTTGTCACAGCTTCAAATTACCTCCTTGGAGAGAAAAAAAAAACCCAAAAAACCAAAAACGATAATTCCAAAAAAATAATAAATGGAATGATGCATTTTTTTGGGCAAAGTCCAGTGCTTGGTGGAAGAAGGATGGCATTTGGCTACCCTGTTCTCTCTCGAACGCCTCGGTGTTGCCTGTCTGCGCCGGCCAATGTTGCAATGTAAGCAATCCTGTTTGATGCACTGCCACCCTCTATTGTTTGTTCAGTGTTTAGAATCTCCAGTGGGGAAGAGGAAAAGAAGCATGACTGTTAGTACTTCTCAGGACCCATCTTTCTCAGGATTAAACCAGGTCTGAACTGTCTCCTATTCCAACCTCAACCCCAAATTCATGTGCTTTTATTTTTCTTTCAGTTCTTTTTGGTTGTTTTTTTTTTTCCTTTTTTTTCCTTTTTTTTCTTGGTTTTTTTTTCCTTTTTTTTTTTTTCCCTGGAGAATGTAGACCTTGCAAAAGCACCTCTTATGTTGGCATTATTCAGACATACTTGGCAAACATGTAACATTACTAAGATGTTTCCCTGTGGCGCTTGTGGAAATTGTGGAATTATTTCTAAACTCTGACAGGGCTAAATGTACTTGGTTTCAGGTTTGGGTTTTGGCCTTGAAAACTCCCAAGGCTGTTGAAGGATAGACATTTCACCCTGCTGGGCTTCTGTGTGCAGCTCCCTGCTTGCCTTCCCAAGGGGTTCCTGCAATGCCTATGGATTCACGTGGAGAAGTTATCACTTCAGCCAAACTCCTTCCTGGGCAGTTTTTGCCTCAAATATGTAACGAAGACTAATATTTTCATCCATTATGCTTAGAGAATGAACTGACTCCACCAAGCTGTGTCTTGGCAGTGTTAAGTGTTGTGTTTGTGACTCCTGAAGAGGAGGTGAATTGGAGAGAAAGGAAGACATATGCCAGGTGGTAGCAGGACAGCTGGAAATTGCTGAATATGAATCATAGCTCAGGAGTTTGGCCCTGGAATCAGTAGCTTTCCACAGTATCTTCATGGATGAAGTCCCAGGAGTGAGCTGCTGTACACAAGCTGACAGGCTGCTGTTGTCTGCGCCTGAAACTTAGCAGAGGCTCAGGCTTTGATCTGCTTCTTTAGTTGCTCTTGGCAAA